TATATATATATATTATATGCAGCCCTATTTATATATGCATGAAAAAGTGTATTTTTCTTTTTAAAAGCTAAAACAATGGTAATTTTGATGTGGTTGATATAAATGTAAGAAAAAGATTAGGGCTTAAATGTGCAAAATACATAGAAATTTAAGGTGGTATGTATAAAAATTTATGTGCTGCTTTCACCAATATATGCAGGGGCCACCGTATAATATTATATGCAGATTCTGCCAAATTTAAATAAATAAATACATATTCTTGGCCGCCTGTCCAGAAATCTCTTCAAAAGTCTTGAAGAAATAAACTAGAAAATAGAAAATTCAATGAGCCAAAAAACGTGTGGAATAGGCTCCAACTATACGAACGACATTATTTGAACGAGACATGTTGTTAAACATTTCATTTTTTTTTTTCAAAATGGCAAAATAAGTTTTGCATCAACTAAAGTCATAAGATTATGTGGATTTAGAGAGAAATCAACGTATGTTTCGAGGCTAAATATAATTCAATGTCTGCTTATATTTAACCCGCGCAACATTCTTACGTGTTTAAGTTTAAGAATTTAAGATTATGTTTGGAGCACAAGCTGGTGGTCAATATGTCATTGTGCATGTTTTGCAGAGAATGAGATGATGAAATAATTTTAAGTTAGTTTGTGCAATGTTCTAGATTAGATATCTTACGTGTTTAGCATGTTGGCCATGGCGCATGTGAGCTACTAATTCTTATGAACTGCATGCATTTGAGTGTGTCTATGTGATGCATTTGCATACATAATAATATATTTATAAGATGCAATTGCACGAGTTCAATGAATCTCTACAATTTTCTCTTAATGCATGCACATAATATATATGCCCTCAGCCGTGACCTATTGGGAGAGCAGCCTCTTTGAAGGTCGTGAGTCCTTTTAGGTCACGGGTTCAAATTTTTTTATGGCCAGTGTGATGGTAATGAGGGCGGTCCTCGAATAGTAGACACTTGAGAATGACTGGGAGTCGTATAATAGTTTTCGATCATTCTATCTTATATATATATATATTTGTAATAGGTAGTATTACTAGCTACTACTAGCTTAACCACAAGCACCCTTGTTCTCTTTGGTGAAAAGAATAATTTCAGTGCCCACCAAATATATTAAAACTTACATGTTTTATTAACAGCAAAAAGATTATATTGCGACTATACATCAAATATATTTTTGTTTCGACACTCAAAACTTTAAATAAAAAGAAAATAAAAATAAAAACTTCTCACAACACAGAAGTTATCTAAACAGCAAAATACAGTAAATATATGAACTTCAAAGCTGTCGAACAGTGCTTTGTATTCTCCTCCCATCATGTAAAAGTGCTGTGGAGTCTGCTTTCTTTCCTTACACCGTTCAGCTTCTTGTTATATATATCAATAGATATATTTGTAAATATTTATATTTACACAAGTTGACATTTTTTCATCTTCTGATAGCTCAGGAGGGATAGAAGGGGGAGGAGAAGGAGGGATGAGATCGAAGAGAAAAGATGGGATTTTTATGCCTCAGTTGGCTCTGCAGATGGGAGCAAAGGTGGCAACTGAAGCTCTAGGTCTTGCAAGGTCAAGAAAAGGCCTTGCAAGGTCAAGAATGGAGTTTGTGAGGGGAGGAAGAAGAAGGGTGGGTGTGGTTAAGAAAATAAAAATAAAAAAAGATAAGAACTTGTGATCAAAATTTGACTAAAATGAATCACAAAGTCAATGGTATTTATTTTAAAATAATTATGATAATTATTTTAAAAGAAATACAATGTCTTTGAGATTTTCTTAAACCAAATTTTGATGAAGATATTCTTATCTAATTTTATTTTAGTGGTGGTAGGAGGAGGTGTAGAGAAAAAAATGGCCTTTATCATTTATCTCTATATATAGCCCATGAGATTTAATTTAATAAAAATCTCTCTTTTATAATGCCTTTTTTTCATGCAATTTAAAACAACTCTTTTGACTTCAAAAAGATACTACAGAAAGTGATATTTGATATTCTATCAAATATTGCTTTCTATATTATTATTTGGAGGCAAAAGAGTTGTTTTTTTATTAATTCAGATGAAAAAAAGAGAGGAGGAGATTTATAAATATAATATTTTATCAAATCTAAGGGCTACATGTATAATTAAGACCTGACAAGAGATAAATTATAATTGCCCCAGAAAAAAAAAAAGGAAAAATTAAGAAAAACAGGGGAAGGGGGGGTGGGCAGAGGAAGCAAAAGCTCTGATAGGATAGCGTCAACGCAGGTTCAGTTAAAACTACCAGACAAAGGCTTACATGAAAGCCTTCTCTCTTTACAAAATATGTTCAGAAATAATCCTACATGGCTTCTTCCTTCACTGAAAGGAACCACCATGTTCAGCAAACCTATAAGCTATCAAATCAACAGAGAAACAGTCTTTCTGAAGAGAAATCTGCAGAAAGAGGAGATGGGGCTAAAACAGAGGAAGGAAGAAGAAGGAGATGGGAAGGGGTGCTGATCATGAGACTTATCGAGCTGGGATTGTGGGGCTTTTAAAGAGAGGAAAATGGGAAGGGTGAGGAGATTAGGTGGAGGAAAGGGTAATGGAATCCAGCTCGTGCTGATTAATATTGCCCTGTGCATCAATCAGCAGGTGGCAAACTAAGATTTGGAAGGCTTCAAAAGAAGAATAAAAAACATAAATTTGGACATCTGTCCACCTTTTAGGTTTAGAAATTAAGAAAAGACAATGTTACAGTTAGGCCTGATAACTTCCTCTTCTTGAGAGTGGAAGTTGGGGGCTTTTCTTGTTTCGGAAGTGGAGGGGGGAAAGGAATTTGTTGGTCCTGTGAGAGAAGAGAGATGGGGAAGTAGGGGTTAATTAATGAAATTACAAAATATAGAAAAATGATTAAGGAATTTTTTTTTTATAATTTTTTTATTATTGACGCTAGGCTAGTGAATAGGGGCCGACCGAGCTAGGATGACTAGACCGGTTCAAGGAGGGAACCAAGGGGATCGGCCGACCAAATTACAATAGGAATTTAGACTTTTTCGGACAGCCAAAATATGTCGGTTATGATAAAAAAACTGTTTTTTTTAATATTACCGATGATTTTAAGCTTGTAGGTAAAATGTTTGTCTGTAATTACAAAACCGACCAATATTCTGATGTTATACCTGACAAGTTGCTAACAAATTGACTGAAGAGCAAGGCTTCACTAACTACCGACGGTTATCCGACGATTTAATGTCGTAACTTTCTTTGAGAAAATTTGAGTTGTCGGTAATCATCGGTTCGTATAACCGACAGTTCTTCCGTCGGTAATAGCAAAGTCATACAAATCAAAAAAGTGTTGCTTATGTCGGTTTTTTTAAGTAGGCAAAACAGTTCGTTATGCGTTGTTTATACATTGTTTTTTAACCAA